TGTCGGAGGGGAAATCCTTGTACTCTGTTGGTTGGAATGAAAGTTGGTGTAGTCTCTAAGGAAAACACTATGGAGGTTCCTCAGAAAACTAAAAATAGAGTTACCATATCATCCAGCAATCCCCCTCCTGAGTATATACTGGGGAAAAATGAAAACTAATTTCAAAAGTCACATGCACCCCAATGTTGGTAGCAGCACTAGTTACAAACTCAAGAGATGAAAACAACTCAAATGCCCATTAACAGACAATTGGCTTAAGAAGATGTGATAGATAGATATATAAAATACATATATATTTATAAATAGTGCGTTATATTCCACAGCTTACAAACAAAGAATGAAATATTTCCATTTGCAGCAACATGGTTGGACCTAGAGAATATTATGCTTAGTTAAGTGTGAAAAGGGGAAAGAGGAGGGACAAAGTGATAAATTAGGAGCTTGGGATTAGCAGATACAAACTACTATATATAAAATAGTTACACAACAAGGTCCTACTGTATAGCACAGAGAATTATAGTTAGTATCCTGTAATAACCTATAATGAAAAACAATATATATGTGTATATATAACTGAATCACCATGCTGTACACAAGAAACAAACACAATGTTGTAGATGAACTTCACTTCAATCAAAAAAGAGTATTCTAAATCCTCTCTCACATCCCTCAGAATGTTTCTGCCATTCATTTCACTTAGCCATAATCCATAATCACACAATATATTGTTGCTATTCTTATTTTGAGCAAACTGTTCTCTGTTGGATAAATTCAGGATAAGGAAAAAGGATTTTGTTAACCTCCTTTTACTTTTTCTCTAATGCTCTTCCTTTATGTGCATCCAAGTTTCTGACTTACATACCATTTTTCTTCTCTCTGGATAACTTCTCTTAAAATTTTTTGCAAGGCAGGTCTACTGGTGACAAATAGTTTTGGTTTTTGTTTTTCTGGGAACACCTTATTTCTTCTTTACTTTTCAAGGAGGGATTTGTTGGATACAGAGTTCTAGATAGGTGTGTTTATTCTCATGTTGTCTATTTCTCCATTAGATACCTTAGCATATCAATCACAGTTATTTCAAATTCCTGGTCTGATAACTCCAAAGTCACTGCCATATCTGAATCTCATTCTGATGCTTCCTTTTTCTCCTCATATTGTGTTTTTCACATGCTAGCATGCCTTGAAAATTTATGTTGGAAGCTAGACATCTAGACATGATGTATTGGGTAATGAGAACTGAGACATATAGGCCTTTAGGGTGAAGACATGTTTATTTCACTAGGGATGATGCTGTGTTTACTGTTTTCCGTAGCTGTAGATGTCTAAGGCTCTCCTCTCTTGTGTCAGGATTGCCTAGAAGTCCCTCATTAAATAGAGTCTGAAAGCTTTAACGTTTCAACTACAAATCTCTGTTATACAAAGTAGAATCATTGATGTGGTGATAAAGTATGGTGAGGAGATAAGTATGCTAGACTCTTATCATCAGTCTCAACTGTTAAGGAAGCCTGAACTTTGCCCCAAAGTGTAGCTTTCAAAGTGCTTCTCAACGTCGTCCGCACTTAGGCGAGGCAGCAATGGTGGGGAGGATTGGGGTTCTCCTCTCCTCACTGTAACTAGATTGTTATAATTTCCCTTGCGGGAAGGGAGAGAACAGAAAGCTGTGAGCTTATTTCAGAATAATGACATTGTCCTCCTTCTATCAGAAGCCCATGGAGATTATTCTCTGGTCTTCACAGTGAGAACTTGGGTTGGGTTCCTGGTGGTAAAGCTGACAAAACTGTGGCGGCCTCCATGACACTGAGCACTCCCCACATGCCCCATCTAGAGCTTTTAACTTTCAAGCTAGTCTACAACGAGTTTCAAGGAATTCACCGAAATTTTTAAGTTTTTTTTTGTATTCTTAGTAATACTGGCTTTAACAAGGGCTTCGAATCGAGAACTTCCACATAATAGTCTCTGATTCTATATACGCACCTGTCTGTCTGTCCACCTTTTGAGGCAATATTTTGCCTCATGTCCTCGATACCGTAATGGAGCTGTTTGAGTTTCAAATGTGTTGACTTACAGTGAGGATGGGAGAAGTGACTTCCAAATTTTTACCCCATTGCAGAAACTGGAAGTCTTGACAAGCAACATTTAAAGTAGATTTATGCACCAACGAAAAATCTTAAATTAGAGGTTATTGGCTTCCATCATCAAGAAGGGGAAATTTAATTAATTTTTCCTACCTGCAAAAATGTAAGTTTGTTCTTTTTTTTAGCAATGAAATAAAAACCTTTGTAGCATGCTTTGATATTTGAAATAAAACAATTTAACATAATTTAGAATATTTGCAATATACAAATTAATTCTAATCTGTTTAGCATGTATATGTATTTTAATGCAGAATGCTTACAACTTTTATGACTTATACTGGAAAAAAGAGGGATTTTCGATACATGTTATCACCATTACTTCTCCTAGACCAGCTTGTACCTCTGTGCCTTCTATGGCGAGGAGACTGCTCAGTGACAGTTGAAGGATTTCCCGTTTCTGCTCTCCTTCCACATGTACAGTCTCAGAAGCAGTCAGAATCTGCCTTGACAGTCTGGGTGGCCACTCCGCAGGAAGCTGGAAAATATTCTCAAGCCCACTCACGTCCCAGCCCTGCATCCTCAGGTGTTCCTGCCCTCCGTCACCAGGATCCAGGAGTCTGGTCTCACGCCCCCTTAACCACAAGCCTCCCCACCCCAGGAGTCTCTAAGAGTTCCTGCTGGAGACCCTCAAGGGCCTCTGTTACTTCAGCTGGAAAGACAGAAGCAGTCTCAGAATGACAAACTTGCCACCTGGATTTTAATTCCAGGTGTCAGATTTCCCAGCATCAGGGGACGACAGCCCCACCCCACCGGACACTCCCTCTCCCACTTTCTACCAAAACGACCCAGCCCCAGACCTGCATTCAGAGATCATATCCTTCCCCGGCAGTACTTTTTCTAAAAAGATCTCTCTGCTATCCATCCTTCCCTGCTGGGCCCTGGCTGCAAAGGCAGAGGCGTGCTTCCTCAGCGCCTTGCCATTTAATTCACAAACAGAAAATCCAAAGGTTCGATGGGACTATGAAGTGCTGCTCAGCCTCTCCAGGAGTCAGAGATGTGCAAATTAAAACCACACTGAGCCATGGCCTTAGACACATGAGACTGGCAGACATCTGATGGTTGCTAACCAGAAGTACTAACCAGGATGTCAGGACAGCAGGAAGCCTTCCACACAGGAGGACAACACTGCTCTGTGAAATTAAGTATACGTGTGCCCCGTCCCCCAGCACAGTCCACTCCTGATGTATCCAAGCTAAGCTCTCCTGCCCGCCTGCAGGGCGCCGGTAGGAAAGTGCTCATCGCGGTGGTGCTTGTAGTAACCGGGAGCTGGAAGCAGCCTGGGTCCTTTAGCGGTGGTACTGCCTTCACTGGCTTGCTCGGGAGATGATTTCAGGAAGCACCACTATGGAAGTGGGAGAGTGCGGCAGGGGCTCTTGGAGAGTCAGGGAAGGATGCGTGATTGGCAGGTCCCTCTGGGGACAATGGAAGCTTCCTGTCACTGGACAACACAGGGAGACACTGCTGCCCATGACGCCAGAGTAGTCCCTCCTGAGCAAGCGGAACACTGGGTACGGATGTTCCCGCTCCTCTCTTGCCAGGCTGAGGGCTC